AGGAGAAGTCAAAAGAATTATTCAGTGATTGGACAAGTTGTGAACTGGAAACTTTCAGCCTCATTACACTGTCTAGGGGCTCATGCTGTTTCTTGGGGACCCATATGCCCACTTGCAGGATCATTTTGATAGTTAAGATGCATTCCACGCTGCCCTTTATTTCTTTTCACTTGCTCGGGGCGCCTGCACTGTTGTTGGGACCCTTCCTGCTAGCGTGCCGGGGTACTCTTGTCAATCACGGGCCCTTTCACGTGTTCTTTCCATTCGCCAGAAAGGCTCTGTGGGTTATAGCCGGGGTCCTATATCTTAACTTGCCGGGGTATTCTCGGTCGCTCAGGGGCCCCTTACGTGGGTCTCAGTTAACCTACCGACGCACTTGCGATATGCTCATGGGCCCTCTTCATTGGTCTACGGCGCTTCCAATTCTCTGTCACTTGCTTAGGACCTCACACTCTTGTCAGGGGCCCATCTGATGGCCTGCTTGGACATAACAGTCGTTCGGGGACCCCTCACACTGGGTTTTGGGTACTTCTTTTCTTAATGGGGGGCCCTTGCTTTTGAGGGGGGGCCTATCTGACAACCTGCTCGAGCACATTCAATCGTTCGAGGGCCCTCTACATTGGGTCTTGAGCACGTGACTATTTGAATGGGGCCCTACGCACTTGTCGAGGGTCCCTCTGTTTGCCCTCTTCGGCCATACTGGATTGCTCTGGGGGGGGGGGGGGGGAGGGCCTGCACATTGGTTTTTTGTGTTTGAATTTAGGGCCCTCTGCTCCTATCGGGGTCATCTAATAACCTGTTCGGTTACACTCCATCTTGCGGGGGGCACTCCGCACCGGGTTTTGGGTACATCCCATTTGAATGGAGGTCCTTACGCTCCCGTTGGGATCCCTTCTGATAAGATGCTCGGGCCCATTCGATCGTGGGGGACCTCTACGTGTGGTTTTTGAGCACTTCCTTTTTGAATGGAGGGCCCTCGACGCTTTTCGGTGACTCTGCCTGTTAACCTGCTCTGGCGCACTCGATTTTTCGGGACCCTCGACATCGTGTCGCGGGTATTTCATATTTGAACGGAAGGCCGCACGCTCTTGCCGGCGCCCCATCTGGTAACCTGCTCGGGCACACTGAATTGTCGAGGGGGCCCTGCACACTGGGTCTCGGTGTTTGAATTTAGGGCGCTGCAATCCTGTCTGGGCCACCGAATGATCTGCTCGGGTATACTCCATCCTTCATGGGCACTCCCCACTGCGTTTTGGGTACTTTTTATTTGAATGGATGGCCCTATGTTCTTCTTGGGCTCCTTCTGAAAGCTGCTCGGGCACATTCTATCGTTCTGGGGCCATTCACATAAGTTCTTCGGTGCTTCTCATTCGAATGGAGAGCTCTACCCTCTTGCTGGGGGCTCTATTTGTAAACCTGCTCGGGCACACTGGATCATTGGCGGGCGCTCTTTATTGGGTTTTGGGTGCTTCCTATTTGAATGGAGGGTCCTACACTCTTGACGGGGCCCTATATGTTAACCTGCTCTGACGCACTGAATTATTGGGGGTCCTCTGCACTGGGTCATGAATACTTTCCTATTTCAACGGAGAGCCCTACGCTCTTTTTGGGAACCTTATCTGTTAACCTGCCCGGGCACACTCAATCATTCGGGGCCCTCTACATAGGGTCTTGGGTACTTCCTATTTGAATGGAGGGCTCTACGCTCTTGATGGGGCCCTGTATATTAACCCGCTCGGGGCGCACTCGATCGTTCAAAGCCCTACACATTGTGTCATGAGTATTAATTTTTTGAATGGATGGCCCCATGTTCTTGGCGGCCCCATCTATTGAGCTGCTCGGGCCAGTGGCGGATGCAGAAGGGGGGGGGGGGGGAGGGGGAGAGGCACGGGACCATGCCCCATGGACCATGCCGAAGGGACCTAAAGGCTCCGAAGGGGCCCATAACCTGCCGAACGGACGCAGTTTTCTTACAACAAAAACACAACAAAATTGGAAGCCTTTGCGCCTATGGACGACCAAGAACATTTGCTAGCAAAAATGAAGAGTTCATAAGCAGAGCAAGTTCATTTTTTGCTGATTGAGAAAGTGTTGCTTGGGGGAAATTTTGGAGCCCATTATGCTGCTGGTTTCCTGACCCCTACATGTCCACTTCCCGGATCAATCTGAGCGCTAAGGAGCTTTCCACGTTGCTCTTGATCTCTTTGAATTTTCTCGTAGGGCTTAATGTGCTGTTGGGACGTTATCTGCCTCCATGTCTGAGCACTGTTGATCGATCAGGTTTTCCTCCGCGGATTGTCCCAATTCACCCGAAAGGCTCTTTACGCCTTTTCCAGGCCCCATATGCCAAGGTACACTCAGTTGCTCCGGGACCCTGCGTTTAAGTTTTGGGCTCTTCCTACTTGCTTGGAGCGCCTTGTGCTGTTGCTAGGGCTTTGATAAGGTAAGGCACGGAGACACTAGATGCTCAGGGGCCATCTACTTTGATCGAGGGCTCTCTCCTTTTGGCCTCATTTGTGGAGGCCTCTTCACTCCTATCGAGGCTCGTGTTGTTAACCCGCTCGCGCACTCTTGATCGCACAGGTGTTATTAATTCATAGTCTTGGATAATTCTCCTTCGTTCGCGGGTTTTGTGCTCTGGCCGGGGCTTCATATGTCAGCCTGCCGAGGCACTACCGGTCGCTCATGGGCCCACCACGTTGGTCTTGGGTTTTTTTGCTTGCTCTGCGGACCCTATACTTGTTGACGGTAGCCACTTTGTTGGCCTCCTGCGGCACCCATGATCGCCCAGGTTTCGTCCCTATTGGCCCTGGTGCCGTCGTCTCAGAACAGCGCTCGAATATGCGCTGATGAATGTTTGCGCGCCATTGTCAAACGTAATTTGACATGCCGCGGACATCGCATGTGTCATTTTCATTACCTGTTGAGCGTGTGACACTTATAATACTACTGCATCACGGTCTTAACATATTTCGAATGCTAGGATATGTTGTACTCCTTTATAACGGAGGAAAAATCCTGCATTAGTTATCAGTCATCAACTGATTGCATCGCCCAGCCGCCTAGCCGTAAAAACATCAGCTAGGAATCAAGCCCATGCTTGGTTTTGAAGGTCGTTGGCAGCTGACTCAGCTTTATTTCGTCTGTTGTTCCGAAACACTTAGCCTCAAAATCACAGCATTTAACATGATCTGCTGAAAGTGAGTCAGCTCTATGTGTACTCATGCGTAGCACGCCTAGCTTTATGAGGTCGTGCACAGTTAGATGGGTTTCCGTATTTATGAAATAAATGAATCAGTAAATGCATACATGCATATAAACGTACCCATATGCATATATATATATATATATATATATATATATATATATATATATACACGCTACATACGACTCGCCTTAAAGTGTAATGACCAAAATGCAAGGCTATTTTTTGGAGAGCGGCCCCAAACTCCAGGGGGCCCCCGCACTGTTGCGTGCCCACCCCCTTGACGAAATCCTGGATCCGTCCCTGGCATTGCATAACTATCAATACGCTTAAGTGCATCGCCCTATCACATGGTGGTCATGTTATGTGGTTTGGCGGGGTGTGAACTATTCGGAAAGGTTGAACGTCCAGTTCAACAACATTCAGCCTTGCTCTGATTTACCCCGTCACCTCTTTTCTAGACCGGTCGTTGGCCAAAAGCCGACGGGTACCACCTGTCGATAACGATTTGTGTGAGGTGTCTCTGTCTGTCGTATTTTTATGTTGACCCGTCTTTATGTCAAGCAGTGAGCGACACGAGGATAACATTTGCACACGACGCCCACGTGCACGAGGCGGTTTTCTACATCTAGGTTCGCGAGCCGTGCGGTCCAGGGCTCGGGCATGGGACGCACCGTAAGGGCCGTTTTTAGGCCCGTTGGATTTGGATGAGGGAGGCTGGAACCGTGAACCGCGGGAAACGGGCGAGTAGCTATCGGAAACTGTGGTCGTAACTCAGCAACGAGGAGTCGGAGCGACATGTCTTTGATATTGCCCGAAAAGCAATTGAACGAAAGGTTGTGTCTTGCCATGCTGCAATAGCATGTGTCACCCGCACAGTAGCGCTCAGGAAAGATTTGTCCGCTTTCGACAGTTTTGAATGTTTTGTCAGGTTTTGTACGTTGAATACGCGCGTTGAATACGAATACGAATACGTACGTGCGTTGAAATGGCACCTTTTCGACCGCCCAGTCACCATCTGTTTTTTTTTTTAGTTGCATGTCGGAAATTTCGCACGCTTTGTCCTAGGTGCAGGCCGTGGCAGGTAATGCAGCCTTTGTTCATTCATTCGTGGCGAGCAAAAGCCAGTGGCCTTTCCGTTGACACATTAAAAAGGAGTCGCACAAATTGAGTTAAGAACAAGGTGCTATGGGTACGATAATAATTATCTTAGTTCTTGAGATCTCAAGGTGGTTAAACTACCCCCCCCCCCTCCCCCCGAGTGAAGTGTATTCAACCAGCCACACGGATGTGTGTTGACGCCGGAATCAAACGCCCCGTCGCATTAGAAAGTTGAGTACCAAACACGCATTGGCCAAGCCGATATTCCATCAAAAGTCGCCTGCCACCATGCGTGAGACACGTACCGCGTTGACAAAATGGCGTAAAGTGAGCTTTTTAGCAAAAGAGAAATTGCCATCCTTTTTATATCATCTCGAAAGGATCGTCTCCTTTCACTTTCAAGGTCACGTTGTTCAGCTCATCTGCTTTGACGGAAACCAAAAATGTGTCTTGGTAAGTAAATCGTGACCACTGCTATTACATTATTGTATAAAGCTCATTATAAGACTTTTTAAATCATTCTTATAACTTTTAAGAATAATTAAAATATAAAGTGAACGCAAACATACCAAGGACTCTTCATTAAAGTGATACTTCTTGTATTTGACGTCATTAAATGTTCATAGACGTTGATCCTGATGGTGTTTTGTGGTGATCAAGAAGCGCCTCTGGAGACGAAAAGAAGGCATACGTGGCGATCTGCCGGCTACTTTCTCCACAAGGGCCTTCATCGGTGTGCCGCCTGTCGCAGCGCGGGACTGAGTGTGGTGCGCGTGTGGGGGTGGTTGTATGTGACATTGCTGAAAGTGCGCTGACATGAAGCAAAAAGGAACGAAAAGTTCGGATGATGACCCTGTCAGCTTTTCTAAGTGGATACACAGGTTCAGGTAAGATACGCGCGGTGTTGCTTGACCCAAATTGTCTGTGGCTCTAACGTGTACCGCATGTGCCCAAACCTATTGTTGTTCGGACTGTACAGTTCTGGATGCATCCTTGCAAATACTGCAAATGGTAAGGGGAGCATATAAAGATTTGAAACAAAAGCTATCCGTAAAAAGGGAAAGACACAGCTCATTAAATGTCATGAGCTGGACTTGGAGTGGCATTTCAACCTATGTATTGGTCTGCTCCGCACTGGCCTTTTTCATAGGCATCAATTGTTGTCCAAGTATCAAGAATAATGTCATTGAACACCTGGGCTCAAAGTATCCATGCAATGTGCAGGGCATTGGGTGACTGCTCCTGTGATATTGGTGTGCTGAAGCTGAAGTACTTTTGCCTCAAACTTGGGCCACATCAAATTGTATAGAGCTTTGACATTATTTGTTCTTTAAAAAGGTTTTTGGGTATATTTCCTTCAGATTGCTTTGAAACATCATCATTTCTTGGAACACTGGCATTCTGTGTTGAAATTGGTTATGACTGCACACTAAATTCGAGGCTCTTGGATTTACTTTTTGCGTGCACTGACATTGTTGCAGGGATGTGGGTTCTATGCCAGATTTGATGTGGTGCATATTTTTGCAGTCTAGATTATGCATGAACCATCACATGAGATGTTTTATTGTGTTTGTACATTGGAGTTTTCATGGAAGAAGGTGACAGATCTGTTTGTGGTATTTTGTCATACTAAGTTCTGGTATTCTCTATCATTTTAAGGTCCTTTTATGAAGAAAATTATTGCATTGAGGCGCAGCAACTTTCATAGCACCATCATGGGCTTGTCTTCCTGCATCTTGTGTGAAGTTTCAAGTTCATGTGTTCTTGGCTGCAGTATCAGTGTCTGGGCATTCAGCAGACCCCATGCACTTTTTCAGGCAAAGCAAGGATGATCAGACGTGGTGGACTACATTTGGACTTGTCCTGTGCCTTACTTTAGCAACAAGACTGTACAAGGTTGACTCACCTGACCATGTTGCGTAAGTTGTGTCAGTGCCAGTTTTGACTGCAATGGGTGGCTCATGATGGGTTTACATATTTGTTAATTTTGTGGTACATTTGCCTTTTGATGACTTGACTGTGCTTTGTTCAATTTTACCCACATTCTGACAGTTAGCACTACAATGTTCTTAGCATCACAAGATGTTTCCATTTGGGCATTTCCTGGTTCCTGTTTCACCAAATGCTTTGGTAAACCTGCCTGTATTTGTTATTCCAATTTATATGTTCATAACTTTTTCTTGCTAGTTTTCCTTGATGTGCTTGATCATCTGACCCTATTGCATCCAACCCTGCAGGTGGGATGAGACCCATTTTGGGAAGATGGCCAGCTGGTACATAAACAGGACATTCTTCTTTGATGTACATCCACCCACTGGGAAGGTAAGCACATTTAGGGGTGTCATCCTCTGGATTGGATTGACTGTTTCATGTCTTTGTTAGCTGGATAGCCCTATCAAGCAGGGTCCCAATGATGTAATGATGAACTTTTTTACATTTGTCTTTGCTTATGAGTGTGTTTCCAAGTGTTAAGTTAAGGAAATGGCTAGTTTTGGAAATGTTTTGAGTTCTCCAATTTTATACAATACTAGATGTAGCTTGGAAGTCATTAACATTTTTACCCATCCCCTATGTTTGAATCACAGCATACCAATTCTGTTTCAGATGCTGATTGCTGGATTTGGTTACCTTACTGGTTATGATGGCACTTTTGAATTTGAAAAACCTGGCCAGAAATTTAATGAGACCCATTACTTGGGAATGAGAGTGGTAAGTGTGACAGCTGTGAATGACTGTCCTTAGGCAATGCTGTGAAGAATCAGCTACTGCTTTGTTTATGATGATTTTTCATAGCATCCTGTTTTGGTGTGGATGGCTTCTGTCTGCCATTTTTCTGTGCAATTTTGTGATGGAATTGGGCTATGCAGACCTGCTCTTAAGTAGTTACTTCTCAAATGTCAGTAAGATCCTGGAACCAATCATGAATGCTGAGCACTGTTACTTGTGGCCAGCACATGGTGCTCCATGTATGCGACTGAGCGTGCCTGACTGGGCTCACCTGTGGCCAGGGCTGCACACTGATGGGTGCCTCTCTGGTGCCGATGGCGTTCGTCACGGTCTGGGAGCTGACGCACGCACTGCCAGCCGCCACATTCGCCGCCGCCGCCATTCTGTTCGGTGAGGCTCATGCCGGCTGTGCCCCTGAGTCGAGCTTCGTCCAGATCGCCTCAAAGTGTATGAGATGGTGGCCAACCTGGGTCTTGCAGTTTAGTGGGATCTGATGCTCAGGTTGATCATTCTAGCACTCATATACTGTTTGTGTTGCATTAGTCATCGTCAGACAAAAATAGGAAAAATCAAGCAGATGCAGCATGTATTTAATAACATGTTGATATCAGGTGACTGTGAGCAGCAAGGGACGGTGTGTTATCATGCAGCTGGGTTGGAAACTAACAAAGTTGCAAATCATGTGTGCAACATCCCAAATGACCCCGTCAAAAGCGATAAGTGTTCACGTCTGTCGACGTAGCTTACCGAAGATCATAGAGGTGTATGGCACGCCGGTACACAAAAACACAGACAGCTTCAAGTTTTTGGGAAAATGTTGTTCTTCACACTATTGAATTAGCACCCGGATGGCTGGAACGTGTGTATCTCTTTACAGACAACGGCATGGTCACTTTGAACCAGTACATTCTGTTGGACCCCATCCTCATGTTTTTCATCATGGGATCAGCAATGGGCCAGAGCAAGTTCTACAACCAGCGGCACAAGTAAGTCACCACAGCTCCTGCTGGTCGTGTGCTGTTAGCATGCACGCCCCTACTTAACCATGGCTTCCTGCGCGCACGGGCGCAAGGGGATGCTGTTCTGCAAGCGGGGGGGGGGGGGGGCGGAGAGGGGGGGGGGGCGATACACAAAAGTAAAACATCGGGCAACGTCTCGGTGGCCTGTTGGCGCTGATATCCGTCGAATCAGCTAAGGAGCCCCAGCTCAAACTGGGGCTGTTGAGAGTCGCTCCGGCGCGTGCAGCCGGCGCGGCCCTGTCGGCCGCCGCTGTCTACTCGTCGGCCTCCTGAGCCCGCGGCTCGGGCACGAACTTGAACGGCCGCGGCCGCAGCACGTGCAGGTTGTCGCGATTGACGCTGAAGTCGTGCTGGAACCCCTCGGGGAAGCGCAGACTGAAGCGCTGCAGCAGGGCCGTGAGGAAGATGAAGAGCTGGGCGGCGGCCAGCGCCTCGCCGGGGCACCGGCGCCGTCCGGTCAGGAACGGCATCACGCCGTCCGCGGGCAGCAGGCGGCCGGCGGCGTTCACGAAGCGCTCTGGTCGGAAGGCCAGCGGCTCGGGGAACAGCCGATCGTCCAGGTGCACGGCGCGCAGCAGCGGCGTGACCTGCGTGCCGCGCGTCACCTTGTAGCCGGCCAGGTTGAAGTCGCGCGCGGCCGTGTGCGGCAGGCCCAGCGGCGTCACGTCGCCCAGACGCTGCGTCTCCATCAGCACGGCCTCGGTGAAAGGCATGCGCGCGCGGTCGTCGCAGCGTGGCGCCCGCGCTCGGCCGACCGTGGCGTCGATCTCGAGCTGCACGCGCCGCTGCACGTCCGGCCGCGAGCACAGGAAGCAGACGGCCCACTCCAGCGTGGCCACGGTGGGCTCGCTGCCCTGCAACAGGATGTCGAGCACGCTGTGGGTCAGGTGCGCCTCGCTCAGCAGCAGCGGCCGGCGCCGCATCTCCAGTAGGTAGGCGTCGATGTAGTCGCGCGGCGCGGCGTCGGGCTGCAGGGCGGCGCGGTGCTGGCGCACGGCCGGCTCCACCAGCCGCTCGGCCTGCTCGTCCAGCGCGCGCGGCAGGTCGGGCGGCAGCAGTAGCAGTGCCAGCTGCTCGGCCCAGGGCAGCGCGTCGGCCAGCGACGCCACCTGCCACTGGTGCATGACGCGGCCGGCGGCGGCCACCGTCTCCTGGACGTCGGTGTCATCGACGCCGAGCCGCTCGCCGGTCAGCAGTTCCCAAATGATGTTGACCACGGCCGCCTGCAGCTCATGGCCCAGCTGCACCTGGCGGCCCACGTTGTTACGCACGAAGTTGTTGACGAAGTCGTCGGCCATCTTCTGGACTGAGCGCTGCAGTTGGCTGTCGGCGTCCTCGAGCCCCTGCAGCTGCTGCAGCAGCAGACGGCGCGCCTCGTGCCAAAGCTCGCCTTCGGCGCGCGTGATGCCCTCGCGGCGCGCGCCGTCCAGCAGGCGACGGCGTGAGATAGTGTCGGGCCGGCCACTCACCTCGGCCCGGCCCAGAAGGTCTCGCAGCAGCGCCGGCTCCGAGACGGCCACGATCGGCAGCGCGCCCATGCGCACCTGGAACACGGCGCCGTAGCGGCGCGCCCAGCGCAGCAGCGGCTCGTGCGGCGCCGCCAGGTCCATCTGGAGCAGGTGGCCCACCACCGGCAGACCCCACGGACCTGGAACAGCCGGCGAGCGGGTGACACGTGCCGCCGGCGACAGGCGACGCCGTCCCCACGGCCGCCGGGGTCCCGTTCAGCGTCGTGGCACAGAGACGCTGCCCGGTCCTGGAGTTGGCCCGGGCAGTACAGGCAGGGAGTCGCCAGGCCAGACGCTGACGTTGAGTTTTCTGCGGAAGACGCTTTGATTGTCTATTCCTTTTGAAAATGTGGAACTTAAAATTGTCGACATCAACGCGAGTAGGCACGGCGAACCCTGTAAGCCCGGGAAACTAGCGTTCCGTGTCTAGCTTGCGGCGTAGGATCACGTCCTGTGCTGATCCGCCTGGAGCAGTGTGGAGGGCGCAGCAGACTTACCTGGCGGCTGCTGGCGGAGTCGCTGCCACGTGACATAGACGAACGCGACTGCCGACACGGCGAACAGGACGGCGGCGAACATCGTGCCGCGCTGTGGACAGCAGGCGAGCGAGACGCTCCGGCGCTTGGGCGATCGAACGAGGGCGGCACTCTCTCACTGGCGGCGGCGGGGAGTCGTGGGTTCACGGGACGCGAGCGGCAGGCCTCCGTCGTCGGCGCTGGCACTGCGCTCCAGCTGGGGCGTGTGCGGGGCGGCGGCGGCGACTGGCCGTGACCGAGACCGCGCCCCGGCAGCGGCTGTGGTCAGAGCAGCGCTGGCCCCGCGCGGTTCCAGCGGCCGCGCCGGCTATAAATACGGGATGGGTGTTTGAGTCAGCGGGGGCGCCGACAGCGGCAGCTGCCGATCGGCGGTCAGCCGGTCGCCGGCTGACCGCTGGCTGGCACGGCTGCTGGCTGACCGGCCGGGCGCGGCCACCGGGGCCGGCCTGGCCCCGCCTGACCGCGCCAGGTCGCTCCACCGCTCGAAGAACGCCGCGCTGGAGGGAAAGTTGGCCCGCCAGCCGGCTGGAGGGGCGCACCCCGGGAGCACGCCGCCGGTCGCCGGCTCGTGGGCAGACGTGCTGGCACCGGGAAACGCTCACGTGCCTTAGGGCTGACTGGTTGGACTGGGTGGGTCAGGCGGGGATGTTTTTGGCTTTCAGGTCCCAAAACAAAGGAACAAATGGCAACAGCTGCGTACCACGCTCCGCCTGGCACGTGCCTTATACTTGTTCATCCCGGCGAAGTTAACGTCTCGTTGATTGGCCGAGTTGTGTGGGGGTCTTCATAATCTCCCACGTGCCAAGCCACCCGAGAAAACCGCGCGGACGGGGCAACGTGTTTATTTGTGCAGCGGTTGCCCATTAATTGTTCGCGGTTTTGACGTGTCCGCTCTTTCATGTCGTTCTTAAACTGATCGTTCGACCAGGTCGGCACCCTGTGTTCTGCACGCATTCACAGCAAACCGCAAACGCAGGTGCTGGAATGGATGACAAGCGTGAACAGATGCGCTTGCTTAAGAAGCGGACGCATCAATATACATGAAAGGGGTGTGAGAACACAACATATTTCACATCCCTGAACCCCATTAATCCTGCCGTGTTTCTCCTCCAGTTTGATGAATTCTCGGATGCTGTATTGAGCCATGCTGTAGAATCCGACATGGTGGGATAGGCGAGTTGCTCTTGTTCGAACCACTATCACACAGTTTTAAGTAGATGTCGAAACGTCCAGAGATATCAAGACGCGATCCGTGCAGTCCGCCCTCATTTCCATGCGATCTCGTAAGGCTCGTTACGGTGATTTATTGTCGACCACCTGACTTGCCCTTTGCTAACGTCCAGATTTCTGTTACTGCCAAGAGCAACATATCCACTGGAAAAATAAAGCTACGTTAATTGAACGATACATGCAGTGTTCTATGGAGCAGCCGTCCATGTCTCAGTCCTGGAATCCTGGCACCACTATCGGCCATCCCCCCAAACCCCACGAGTTAGCGGTGCCGCCAGCATCCTGCCCACGTCGCACCTGTTACGGTGCGGCACCGTCCCGTAGCGTCGGATACAAATTCCACATCAATCTGTGCGTGAATTGATGTTCAAGTTAGTTTTTAATCACCCCCTTTGTGATGCTTGTAATTATTCAGATTGCATTACCAGCATTGCATCATCCATGTTCTGTGTGCCCCTGGACTCCGCAGCCGGTGCAGGGAAACTGGCCGTGTGAGGCGACCTCGGGCCGGGCCGGGCCGGGCCGGGCCGGGCCGCCTCTCCAGCCGGCGGTGCCGGAGCGACCCCGGCCCCGGCCGCCGCCGCCGCCGCCGCCGGCCGGTCGGACCGGCTCCCCCGGCCGCTCACTTTCGCTGGCGGCCGCCGGGACTGAGCGTGACGCGGCGCCAGGCCCGTCCGGCGCGTGAGAGCCGTTCCCGGTCCGTGGCTCTCACGGGCCGGCCGCGCCGCACCGGCAGCGCGCCGGCCGCTCGCGGGCGGAGCGACGACGTATCACCCCGCGGCGTGGCTGGGACGCAGCTGGGACTGTGTAGGGTCGTGTGCGGGGCGTCGGTAGCACGGCAGAGTGGTGTTACTACGATGAGAACCAACATCCTTTTAGTTGCCTTCTTAGTTTTCAGCTGCTAATTTGTTAGATTTGTGCGGCAGTAGCCGAGGATTATGCTTGGAGAGCAATCGCTGGGAACGATTTTAAAATGGTTTCAAGCGGCTACGATTGGTTATATGCAAACTATAACATATCACGTCCTCATTGTTCTTAGTTTGACCACCTTACTATACTCAGTATGATTATGTGATGAGAGCATACGAAGCACCATTGTTGCCGGGGTGGTCATCATTTTGATAAAACTGCTAGCTGGACCCACTCATTTCGCATTGGATATGTTGGGGCTACTAATGAGATGACATGATGACGAGACTAGTGGCTATCACTAGCACTGTAGCTACGTCCAGTCGATTTTTTTCGGGCTCTGCACCCCAGCGAGGACTGGCGCCTCATTTGGTCCCCGCACACCGCCTGCCGTCCCCTGTTTCATTCGCATACTTCTAAGTACCGTACCACCGATGATGGTGCTTACACGTGCCCGTATTACGTTTCCCCGGTATTTTTGCGTGTTTCTTTGAGTTCTGTTCGTGTTGCCGCGGTCCGTACACCCGGGCATGTGACCGACACCCCTCTGTTCCTGTGTCCGTGTTGCCAGAGTCCGCACACCCGGGTATGTGACTGACACCTCCGTGTTCCCGTGTCTGTGTTACCATTGTCCTTACACCCAGGCACGTGACCGACACTCTTCTGTTGCCGTGGTCGTGTTGCCACGGTCCTTACACCCAGGCACGTGACCGGCGCTCCTCTGTTACCGTGGTCTTGTCGCCGCGGTCCGTACACCCGGGCATGTGGCCGACACACCGCTGTTCCCGTGTCCGTGTTGCCAGAGTCCGTACGCCCAGGCACGTGACTGACACTGCTCTGTTGCCGTGGTTGTGTTGCTGCGGTCCGTACACGCGGGTATGTGACCGACACTCCTCTGTTGCCGCGGTCGTGTTGCCACGGTCCGTACACGCGGGTATGTGACCGACACCCCTCTGTTCGGCTGACTTGTGTCCGTGTGGCCACGGTCGATCTCGTGACTGAATTGTATCGGTCGGTTCCGTTGACACCGGCGTCTGCGTCGCCTGCAGTCCGTTTGCCGCGTCCTGGTGGGGCTGGATGGTCTTCACGGGCGCCATGCTGGCCGGCGCCATCTCCGTCAAGTTCGTCGGCCTGTTCGTCGTGGTGCTGGTCGGCCTGTACACCATCAAGGATCTGTGGGACATCCTGGGCGACCTGTCGCGGCCCATCGGCTACACAGTGCGTCACTTCGTGGCGCGCGTGCTCTGCCTGATCGTCGTGCCCACGCTGCTCTACATGCTGGCCTATCACATTCACTTCACGGTGCTGACCCGTTCCGGGCCCGGCGACGGCCACTACGGCTCGGCCTTCCAGTCTCAGCTGGTGGGCAACCCGCTGCACAACGCCAGCATGCCCAGGTGGGAGGCGCGCGCCGACCGCGCCGCGCAGCCGGCCGCAGCGGCGCTCTGGCTCGTGTCACACGCTCGGCTGTTGTGCTGCCGTCGCAGCAGCCGCGTTGACGTTGTCTTTGACCGGTTTTTCGACTGAAGTGACTCGGCCTGAGTACTTTTGTGCACTAGGTATCGATTTCGCCGCGGCAGCACTGTGTGTGCGTTTGAATTTTAGGCCGTCCGTAGCCGCCCGTCTCGTAATGCTCTAACTGTACTTGTTTAGTTGCGTGTTTGTTTTGCAGCGGGACTCTGGGCACTGGGCGCCCCGACCGACCGGCGGCCACCCCGCAGTGAACGGCCCTCCCGTCAGGTGGCCGGTGGGCCGACCCGTCGTGCTGACCGGGCGCGCTGCTCCGTTCCAGGGAGATATGCTACGGCGCGGCGGTGACGATCAAGAACCACCGTACGGCCGGCGCGTACCTGCACTCGCACCCGCACCTCTACCCAGCAGGAGGTGGGCCCTGTCCAGCAGCAGATCACCACCTACTCACACAAGGACTACAACAACGTCTGGTACGTCGACTCTGACCTGCCGCCGCCGATCCTCGGGCCGGGCCGCTTAAGTCGTGCCGCGGTGGTCGACTCAGCGGTCTTGACGCTGGTGTGGCAGGGAGATGCGTTATGTGGCTTGTATATAATGTCTGTACTCTAGGTGTCGTTTATTGAGTGTGCTATTTACATATCGTATATGCATTTGAGTGTGTTATCAGAGATGGCTCGGCCTGTATCGTCCTGTTGGGCTACCTTCCGACGTATGATAAAGCGTAGTGAGGATCATACGGAGGGTTCGTTCATACCGTTGCCCCTGGCGGGCTCGGGGGACCATTAGCGCACTGTTGCTGGCTCGTGTCAAACGTGCGTAACAGAACCTTGATAATTGTCGTGGCCAAAGGCCGCACACATTGCTATCGCCCTGAAATGTAATGGCCCCGGCTTGCAGGCTGGTGAAGAAGTACAACGAGGACATCCCGGACGATGAGGATGAGCCGAGCGCGCCGGTGGAGAAGGTGCTGTCGGGCGACCTGATCCGTCTGGAGCACGAGTCCACCGGCCGCAACCTACACGCTCACCGGCACCCGGCTCCCGTCACCCGGCGGCACTTCCAGGTCAGTCTCCCTCCCCTCTCACTCACTCACTCACTCACTCACTCACTCACTTACTCACTCTCACCACTCACTCACTCACTCACTCACTCACTCACTCACTCACTCACTCACTCACTCACTCACTCACTCACTCACTCACTCACTCACTCACTCACTCACTCACTCACTCACTCACTCACTCACTCGCTTGCTCACTCAGTCGCTCATACGCACAGCAGGACGGTTTCACTGGGGCGCAGCCGAACACCGTAATGTAAATAGCTCATGTCTCCGGTAAATGATGACGACGCTGCCGAAATGAAGTCTCCGTCACCAAAGTAAATCAAACTGCTCTCCGCCTAATTTCGTTATTGTGTGCCTTGAGCTTTGGTCTTCGTGTCCAGAGAGGGTCGTCACAGGAAGTGCAGAAATAGATTCCAGTATTACAAGCAGCGCCGTATTGGTAGCATGTGTTGACCGTGCGCCAGCTGGCACAGTGGCGCCAGCATCTAGCGCGTGCCTGCCCGCCTGACCGCCAGGTGTCGGGCTACGGCGAGAACGGCACGGGCGACAGCAACGACGTCTGGCGGATCGAGCTGGTGGACGGCAAGGAGGGCGACGAGATCAACGTGGTGACGGACCGCTTCCGGCTGATCCACTACATGGTCGGCTGCGCACTGTACTCGCACAACAAGCAGCTGCCCAAGTGGGGCTTCGAGCAGATGGAGGTCACGTGCAACCCCAACACGCGCGCCGACTTCGCCCTCTGGAACTTCGAAGAGAACTATTTCGATAAGCGTGAGTGGCTGTGGCGGGGAGGGCCGTCGGAGTGAGGTGGCTCGTCGCGTCGTCGTGCTGGTGTGTCACAGATATCCCTGGGTGGATGTAAGCAAGAAAGGCCTTGAACTTCAGGTCATCATGACTTTAGAGCACTTCTGCGGACAATAATCGACCTCCACGGGGCCAGGAGGAATAGTTAAAATGGCATTACTGAGCGAGCATTGGCTACATTGTCTCACTTGCTGCTTGGAGCTGTGCTCAGAGCCACCCCAGTGACCAGCGTCTAGCCTGGCCATGTGGTGGCTGTGCCCTTTCCGGCATTTTCTCGGATCGGAAGTCGCAGAGAGGTTTTGCTCGTCCACATTCCCTGACTGGTCTTATTCGTTCCTTTAGTAAGCGATGCTTGGTCAGTTTGGTGTCAGCCGTGGTAGTCTGGTAACGCTTAGCAGGAGCGTCCTCCCGATCGTGAGGCACGTGTGTGGGCCGTGTGGGCCGCGATGCTGGCCGAGGCTACACCCTCGCCGAGCCAAGGCGGCGGAGCGGTTGCTGAGTCGGCTCCGCTGTCCGCCAGTGCCGAACGTCAGCTTCTCCATCTACCAGCCCAGCTTCCTGGAGAAGTTCGTCGAAGCGCACATGGTGCAGCTGCAGGGCAACGCCGGCCTGAAGCCCAAGGAGGGCGAGGTGACCTCCCGACCCTGGGAGTGGCCCATCGACTACCAGGTCAGTCGGGCGGCCCGCACGGCACGGCACGGCACGCGTTCGCGGCCCGGACGGGACGCGACGGCGGCAGCGGCGGAGGCCCTGCGCCGGGTAGTTGCGGAGCGGATGTGGTGGGGGTTCAGTGGGTCTGAACGGCGTGTGCTATCTGTGTCATGTAGTGGCTCGCTCTATCACGCAGCACGCGTTAACGTTGTATCCGTGTTTTCCACTGAGTATCTCTGCTGCGAGCTCGGTGTGCGATTTTTGGCCTGAGCCGGGGCTCGATGCCGGGCGGGGAGGTCGGGAAGGTAAGCTCGCGGTGTGCCCCGCAGGGCCAGTGGTTCAGCATCGGCGACCCCGACAACCGCGAGCCGGGGCCGCACAAGGAGAACGAGATCCGCATCTACATGATGGGCAACCCCGTCATCTGGTGGGCCAACCTGGGCTTCATCGCGCTCTACGCCGTCATCTACGTGTGGAACTTTGTCTGCTCGTCGCGCGGCGTGCGCGAGTCGGCCCAGGAAAGAGGTACGTGCGTGTGCGCCGGCGTAAGTAGCGCCGCTCTCCAGCCGTGGATCCCGTCTGCGCCCCGGCCCGTTGTCTTAGCGCCGGTACCCGGGGACGTGTAGTGGTGGGCGGAATGGGTCAGAAAAAACTGGGGATCTGCTTGTTATTCATGGATGCGGGTCATGTGGCCGTATAGCCATACCCGAGCTATATGAGGCACAGATGCTCCTGCGAATGGTGGCATTTGCTGGAGATGTGCTGTTCGGTATTGCAATCTATATGCATTTGTGTGTTGAGTGGTCTCTGACAATCACACTTTCACTGGTCTGATGTTTCCCTGTGGACGTCGCAGTGCGCAAAGCGAACCTCACGTACACCTGTAACTGGCTGATGCTGGCCTGGGCTCTGCACTACTTCCCGTTCTACGGGATGGGCCGCATCCTGTACTACCATCACTACTTCCCGGCGCAGCTCTTCATCTCCATGATGTCGGGTGAGTGAGACGGCAGGGTCCAGCCGCTGGCCGGACGCCGCGATGGTCGGGTGTGGCGATACCGCCGGCTGCGAGAGCTTTGGTCGGCCGCCGCCGGTGGGTGCCGCCTGGGGGTCCTCTCGTTTCACGTGCTGGCCGCGAGCGGCGAGCTGGTCGGCTGCGAGCCGGCAGGAGAGGCTCGGTCAGAGCGGGCGGCAGACGGCGCCGCCGGCAGGGGGAGGGGCTCGGTCAGAGCGGGCGGCAGACGGCGCCGCCGGCAGGGGGAGGGGCTCGGTCAGAGCGGGCGGCAGACGGCGCCGCCGGCAGGGGGAGGGGCTCGGTCAGAGCGGGCGGCAGACGGCGCCGCCGGCGGGGGGAGGGGCTTGGTTCGGAGCGGGCGGCAGACGGCGCCGCCGGCGGGGGGAGGGGGTGGTTCGGAGCGGGCGGCAGACGGCGCCGGCACGTGGAGGGCCTCAGCGACCTCCGCCGTGGTCGGCCCGCGCGCCGCGCGGCCGGATCGCGCGGCGGTGTTGGTGCCCGGGCTCGGGAATCGGTCGGTGCCCCCCGGCTCGGGAGGTAGTAGGGGGGGGGGGGGGGGGGGAGCGCCGGCGGCAGGTCTGCTCGCGCTGTCTCATCGCGCGCCAGGCCTGGCTGCAGGCTGGTGCGGGCTCGGTCGTTCCGCCCGCCTGACGCCCCACTCTGCCTCAGGCGTGCTGGTCAACTATCTGCTGGAAAGCCTGCCTCGAGCGGTGCCGTCCTCGCGCGTGGACCAGGCCTGGATGGCGCTCTCTGTTGTCTACATGGCCATCCTGGCCTACAGGTAACGCAGCGCTGTGCGGGGCGCCCGCCGCACCCCCGCCCAACGGACGTCGGGCCGTTTGTCAGTCCATGACAGTAGACGGTGTGCCTATAGTCCGCTTGCACTTCGGGGTTTAAGCGTGTCGTGGATACGTAAGCAAAGGGAACATCGAAAATGTTTTCATCGTGTACATATTGCTTGTTGGCCATTTCGTGCATGTGTACAAACGTGTTTGTTATGTTGTTTGGAGCTCTAGATGTGTGACTAATGCTGTGGCGTGTCGCGGGGCACGTGTTTGTTAGGATGTTTGGAGCTCTAGATGTGTGACTAATGCCGTGGCGTGTCGCGAGGCACGTGTTTGTTAGGATGTTTGGAGCTCTAGATGTGTGACTAATGCCGTGGCGTGTCGCGTGGCACGTGTTAGGATGTTTGGAGCTCTAGATGTGTGACTAATGCCGTGGCGTGTCGCGGGGCACGTGTTTGCGTTGTTCCCAACTACCGCGGGTGGCGGGCTAAAGCCGCCCCGCTGGCGGTGATGCGCTGCTGCGTGCCGTCGGTGACGCGGCGCCACCCCTTCCTGCGGGCAGCTTCTACCTGTTCCTGCCGCTGACGTACGGCATGTGCGGGCCGGAGAAGCGGGAGCCGGGCCACCGCTACGGCCACCTGCTCTGGATGGACTCGTGGGAGTTCTGATCCCCTCGCCGCCCGACGCCCGACGCGCAGGCCCGCCCGTCGACGCTCAGCTCTGATTGGTCGGAGTGGCTGCTGCGCATGTGACGTCATCGGTGGCACGCAGCGGGCGTGACGCCTGGTGGTCGATCAGTACCGAGACAACTATTTTTGTACGCGCTAGCGATTTTCGGATTGTTAAACAGAGCTATTTTGGATAGGGATTAGGCTGTTTAAACGGATGCAACGAATTGCCGTGGTTCTGACCGGCAGGAATAGCGGTCTTCCACGTGTATTGTGTCTTCCCTCCCCGTGCGGCTGGTCGTGATGAGAGTGGAATTTTAAGTTTGAGATTAATGCCGTGTTGGCATCTGTTGTTTCATACAGGTAAGATCTGATTTACGATACCGTCCAGAATCCCACTCTTCTGTTTTGATGCTGCTTGTTGGGTTATATTGTTACGTATATATTTTCTACATGCGTCTGCGCTGTGCTGTGGCATTTGGACCCCAGATGGCCTTCGAAATATAGGTGATGGTTAAGGGCCGTCTTTTTCTAAATCAAGGTTGACCATCTCTGCCTAGAGCGTCCTCGTTGTACTATTACGCCACCAGTTTCAATGTGCTCTGAAAGACTTCCGATCATAAGCGATGGAATCTGCACATGCACACGATGGTACCAGCAAATGGAGCATAGTGGACACATCTGAACACCCTTACAGCTGGGTACATTAACGCTCGGGCGGGGGAGGCTGGGGCGTGCGGAAGCACCAATACCCGCCAATGACGCTGCTCTGCGCAGGTTCAGATTGCGCGCCGCATGCCAACCATGCCGGACAGATACAAACGCCGCGTCGGGCTGACATTCGCATAATCCAGTGAGTGCTGCCGCGCTATGGTGTCATGCTAATCTAAGTGACTGGGACGCGTTACTCCGCGTGTAACATGTCCGGGGGGGGGGGGGGGGCTAATCGGCAGCGCCCACGGGCGCCTCGGACTCTCCATCCCGCTGGTGTTCCAGAGCAAGCGGCAGCGACAGGTGGGCTTGATCTCGTCTGTCGTCTACCCCCTTCCATCGTGCTTGTGTGTGCTGGCCACGGTCCGCGGGTGTACTCCCGCCAGCTAGGTGGCGCCACAGCCTTCACCAGCATCCTGTCAGGCCGTCCCCGAGTTCGGTTCATAGCATCGGACAGTCACAGTGTGAACGTCCGGCTGGGACGTTACTGGCGACGACGAGATCTGAGAGCGCACGGGACAGCGCTGGTGATGCCGGCTGGCTGAGTATGCCGTGCTGAGTATGACGCCGGGAGTGGGACGGTCAATTTTAACAAGATCTCAAATTATCGTCACTTGCTTTGTTGGCCTTCGTAACTTTTTCGCGTGATATTACTAAGATCAAGCACTGTTGGAAGCTCGAGTGACGCATCCCCATGCCTACCCGTACACGACAAGCATCAGGGGTGGGTGGAATATTCAGCGCCAGAACACCACGCCTAAAAGCTGTGGTCGGCTGGGTCTCGCAGGTACGGTGGCGCAAGTCCACCGGCGTTCAGGCGTCATGCATCTGGCGCTGCCGTAATCTTTGAACTGAATTTGATTACGCTCATCAGTGAACAATTTGTGGGATCAGCTGCTCAGAATGGGTGGGAAGTCTCATGGAGCACCAGCTGTGGCGGTGTCACACAGTGAGGAGTCATCATGTCTACCTGCCACCGATGGTGGGAATAGTGTGAAGGAATACTGCTGATGCAACCATTTAAACGAAGAGGCATTGAAGATAAGGATGGCGTAGTCCTCTGCAGTGACAAGACCCGCGCGAGACCCGCTGTTGGTTGCCCGTGATCCGCGTGCCATCTCTGGGAGCTATTGGAACTCCTGATTCAGACAGACGCCGGGAGAACCGTTTCCAGCGCCGGTGCCGCCGCCACCCCCCGCTGATGTCCGGCGTCGCCGCGGGCCCAGCGGGGGCGTATGGGTCGCCGTTGAGCTTTATGGGCGCTGGTCGGCCCCAGTGGGTGCGTGTGGCGCGCGTTCGGCCCCCATTGCTGATGTGGGTGGACCGCGCGTTTTGCCGCCGATACTGGTGAGGGTGGACCACGCGTTCTACGTGGGCCACCCCACGTTTGAAGCGTGTTGGTGCGGGTTTTGTAGCTGCGCGTGCCGCCTGTCGTTCCCGCGGTGTGGCGTGGCACACCGTGGTCACGCCTTCATGCACCCCGATGAAAAATCTGTTTTTTCACGGGGAGCCTGGTGGCCAGCGACCCGAGCAGATAATGCCGGCTACTCCCGGTTGCCAAGGCAGGGTCGGTGGTACGGTGCGGCTTGTCTTGTTTGTCCCATTCCACACCGTGCATGCCTCGTCGGCCGTATACACTGCCCCGTCCGTCGATCGTGGCGCTAGAGCGTCCGCCGACGGCTTCACGCACAGCATCACACTTGATCTGCGCGATGGTTTTTTACCACATTCCGTCGGCGCAGTATACTCATGAGCATTTTGGCGCTTTACACGAAGAGCAGAGGTGTGCCTTTATGCGTTTGCCGATGCTTACCGTGTCACAGTCGGAAATGCGAATGTTTGCGTGCGTGGAGGTTTGAGTTGGTGGAGATTCGTTTTCCCGAGTTGATGGCGCTGGCCTCTTAACACGACTTATTTTCCAACGTTGAAGGTCAGAGCTTGCCCGACGCCATGCCGAGCAACACGAAGGGAGGCTTATTACGTGTTGATAAGCGTTATGGGTTTCAGTGAATGATACCGCGCCTGATGTGTGATCTATATCCCAAACTCATTCAACCCAGCCAACCCAGCCGCAAACAGCCGCAATGAATTTGGTCCCCGCAGCTCATGACAACCAGAGATATGCAGCAATGTTTGCACAGTTACGTGTGCTGATGCTGACCTATCTGTTTCATGGTGATTATTTCATCAAATAATACACCCTAATAACGTACGTCGTTGAGTGCATTTGCGAGGAGCATTGTGCATATAGCTAAGAAGCGAATTTCCATTTCGGCAAAGGCATGTGGCCGAAATATCGAGGCATTTATTTCTCAATTTTCCTAGTTTTTTTTCTAGGAGAAATAATGGCAATTACTACTGTCTTATAAAATGCGCCTTTAAAGCACAATTAAAACTTGAATGAGAACCAAGGCTAACCAGAATCTCGGGATTCTGAAATCTTTGAATCCGTATGTGATTTATATTGACTAACACTTGAATATTGGCCGGTGTCTGCAAACACCGTTTTCCACATTTGCCAGTTTGATTGCAAGCGATTTGTCAGATGAAGTTTTCCGATTAATTTGTGAACTGACTCGATTCGTCTGATTCGAGTCCGAGTCCCTAAAGGTCAACAGTCTGAGGTCATGACCTTTTTCACTCTCACGTCGCTCAGACTTCGCCAGGTCTGCTGACAAAGTCCACAGCAGTACCTAACGGCAAATAAGAGACAAACACATCCCGTTTTGCCTTCTGCCCGGAATTATTCTCCGATCCTCTTGAAAGTTAGCATGTGAGTGTTTCTGTAACCCACCGTTGACCTGTCCGTTTGCAGCGTCAGCGTCCCACGTGCAGGCCTTTCCTTGAGGCACACCCAGGCTCGGTGTCACCAGGGGCAGGAGGGCGGCCACACCTCTTCTAGATTCCCAAGTGAGTTAAATCGCTTTTGTCTTTTTCTTTGTCTTGTAAATTGTCATGTTTCTGTTTTTGTTTCCGCAGCTGTTCAGCAAAAAAGTGTGGGCCATGGAAACGAATGCTTGTACACCGGCAAGTGCAGAATAATTGGCGACTAAACCGAGTGTCCGTAGGATAAGCTGCGCGCTGTTGCTCCACAAAATACTCAGCCTGCTCTCGAATGGGCGGGCTTCTCCGACGGTAGCGGCATGAGTGCTATGGCACCAACACGGAGAGCATGAGGTATCAACGGCTGGAAACATCTATAAATTGTAACGGTCAGCGTAAACTAATGCATGGAAAGGCCGACCCTAAATGCCCTGGAGCTACCCAACAAGCTAACAAGCCCATTTGATTTAACAAGGTACCAGGGCCGGGCGCGTGGTCTGTGTGCAATAGGCGGCGCCCAAGGCGCGTTGGATTGTAGCACCCGGTCTTGAGTGGTAGCAAGAATCGGGGTCTATCTCCAACCTGCCACGAAAGCGAACGTTTGGCCACCGTCTGCCGTTTCGCCGGACCGCGCTGAGCCAGCTGCGAGGCGACCGTATCCAGCAGACCGTCCTGCGGCATTGTTCCTCGTCCCGCCCCGCGGTCTGTCGTCCCGCCATCCCTGTCACGGTGCCTCTGGCAGCAATGTCAGCGACATCAGCGCTGCGGCCTCGCCAATAGAGGCCTGCCCAGTCGCCGGAGACGCCCGTATGGTGCGGCTAACGAGACCACGCTGAATACGAACGCCAAGGAAGTGCCAATCAGAGCCGGGCCAGGGCTTTGTGATGCACCTCGTCTCATCATCATCGGAGCGCGCTCGTGAGCAAGGTCGAGATGTTCACAGGTTCAGGGCTGTCGTTCTGCGTCGGGAGCGCTGTTAGGCCCCCGCTGACCCTCGGAATTCAGTCATTGATGCTTCTTCCGGCTCGGCTCGGGAGTGACAATTCGTCAGCCCTCACCCATGCGACCGCCGTTTTAGCGCCAAATGTCCGAAGCAAACTGAAGAATTATCGACCTTGAATCGTCGTTCATTATTCACTCATGCATCACGTTTGGCCCACACAAACGCTGTCCGCTAAACAATCCTGTCATCTGACGAGCGTTGACATTGACAGTATGGAGATAGGGGAATCTGTTCCTGATGTGGAGACCTGGACGCAACTTTTTCTGAGAGTCACCCCCAGGGAGAGCTTCAGGTCCCTGCAACAGCTCGGGAATGGGGGTGACCACCGGGGCAGTCGCCGGCACCGGCGTGAACGCCCGAGCCATTCCGACAGCCGACTCAGCTGGGACCCGGCCCGATCTCGTGACGCTTGAACGCACGCTAAGCCTCGAATCACCCCGGCGGCCGGTGGTGCGTCACGGTCCAGACCGGAGCGCGTCATTGTAGCGGTGCGGGACGGCGTCCGGTCCAGCCTCGGCTGGGAAACTGGGTGCCGCCGGCCGCCGCTGACGACCACTGATAGCCGGCGGACCATTGGGTGCGGTGCCGGCGAGGGCAGCGGGATAGACGTGGTGGTGAGCCGGGTGCGGTGCCGGCGAGGGCAGCGGGATAGATGTGGTGGTGAGCCGGGGCGGTGCCGGCGAGGGCAGCGGGATAGATGTGGTGGTGAGCCGGGGCGGTGCCGGCGAGGGCAGCGGGATAGATGTGGTGGTGAGCCGGGGTGGTGCCGGTGAGGGCAGCGGGATAGATGTGGTGGTGAGCCGGGGCGGTGCCGGCGAGGGCAGCGGGATAGATGTGGTGGTGAGCCGGGGCGGTGCCGGCGAGGGCAGCGGGATAGATGTGGTGGTGAGCCGGGGCGGTGCCGGCGAGGGCAGCGGGATAGATGTGGTGGTGAGCCGGGGTGGTGCCGGTGAGGGCAGCGGGATAGATGTGGTGGTGAGTC